TAAGAAATAACTTCTGTATCTAATCTGCAATATATGGTGAATGTATTAAGTAAATAAATAAATAAGTAAAATTATATAAAAATAGTGTTTTTTTTTCCTAATTTTCAAAATATATACTTTTGTGCAAGAATCCTATATAAAAGCATGCTTAATATTTCATCGATATCGATGAAATCTGAATATCGAAACGTTGCCCATCCTTATTCGTGACAGTTACTCTTTTCAAGGTCATGGTTGTCACTGTCATTGGTAATGTTGGTAGCATTGTGTGGTTGGCTAAGCGCCGTTACGAACTCTCAAAAAATTGAATGTACTAAGATCCGCCTCTTATAATTACATGCTCTGTGTCCGCCATTGCGCGCACACGCAACCCCACGAAATTCATGTAGGTATAATTTTTTCCTAATTGTAATATACACGCATAAGTTCACAACGCGAGTTTTTATTGAAATATATGAACAAACAATTTTTGGCGACCGTGACAGGACGATTTTCTGTGCGGGAAGCGCAGAAACAGTGAAGATTGAAGAAGTAACGGAAGTACGGACCAGTCGAGGTTGGATGCAGCGGAATCCAGGGCCTGGCAGCAAAGTTACATCGGAAATAAGGTGTGCCCGTTCCTTTATCCTACCTTCTAGACTACCCCGTTTCCTATTCTTCATTTGTTGTGAGCATTGTGTGTGATTGCTTAGAGTTTCGGTAGCCGGGTAGCGTGTGTTTGGCATATCTGGGTGGAGTGGTGGAGTCATTGTTACAGCTAGCTGAAGCGCACATATTCATTCACGCGGATGATTGCCCAGCCTGTAACCCTAAAGTAACTAAAATTGCATCCCATCTAACCGTCTAGTAACTATTTCATTGCCATTCTGCATTGAAATTCTAGCCTATACATAACTAACTTGAGTCAATTTCTCCGTAAATTCGCTACACTAGCCTTCGCACTGCATTACAGCGCATGTCATAACCAATTTCAGCTCACGCGCCTACCTACGGGAACTACCTAGAGTACCTAGGTATACGTAGGTAATACATAGTGCGCGCGCCGGCACACGAGGCGAGCGACGCCTGTACCGGACGAACCTCCCCCTCCCCGCGCACCTATCGCCGCGCCCGCGCCCGCGCCTACGCCACGTGTCGAATCTTCGAGACGCGGGGCCTAGGATCCCAACGAGTGGATTGCTGACGCTGGTTTGCAGCTGCTGCATGGGTGATAGCCAGGTTTGAGTGGAGCTAGCAGGTATTTAGCGAATTTTTATTACTATTTTGGTGGCCAGTGTACTTCTGCATTATGTCTGACACGGAGTTAAAAGACTTGAGACGGCAAAGAGGTTCTATAAAAGCTAGACTAACTAGTTTCAAGAAATATTTAGGTAATTTTGAATGTCAGGATCCATCTACAATTACAAAACAACAGTTTTTAGAATTAAAGTTACGATTAACCAAAATAGAATCATTGTTCAATGAATATGATGAAGTGCAAATTAAAATTGAGCTTCTAGATTCCACTGAGGAACTGAACTCAGACAGGGATCTGACAGAAAGCAGTTTCTATAGTCAAATTAGTTTAGCGCAGGAGTTAATATTCAAATTCAATAATTTTCAAGATAGTTTTCAAAGTATTCATTCGGACAGTGAGAAAAGTGAGAATATTAATTGCATCAAATTGCCTACCATTAAATTGCCAAATTTTGATGGTAATTTCAACAAATGGCTTGAGGTCCATGATACATTTAATTCCTTAATTCACAATAATCCTAAACTTAATGATATAAATAAATTCCAATACTTAAAACTATCACTATCGGGTCAAGTAGCTGCTGTAATAGAATCACTGGAGATTTCTGCATGTAATTATACCATAGCTTGGAAATTGATCTGTGATCGTTTTTTTTTTTTTTTTTTTTTTAAGGGGGGAAAATCATCGAATGACTGCCCCCGCCTGGGTGAGGCGGGAGGGAGTGTCAGACTCTTACTGACTAAAAACCACCCTGTTCCTTTCGTGAATTTGTCAGAAATGTGTCGTCTTGATCTTGATAAATTCTTCAAGGGGTTTGTGTGTTTTCTCATTCTTCTAGATGTCAGTTTCGGTACCAATCCTCACGCAATATTGAGTGAGCTAAAGGAGTCTTCAACAAGAACAGGGTTTGATGACCTGATAGATTCCATAATATTGAGTGGATTAACACACCGGTTCTGTACCATAACTCATGCGTCCCCAATTGATCTACAAGAAAGAGATGGTTGGAGAATAGCTGTCGCTGACCTCGTATCCTCCTTCCTTGACCAAAGTTGTCTCCACATTGTTAATAACTACAGTGTCTTAACACCAGAGGAGACCCGCCATATATTCTCCAGATGGTATAGGACCATGGCCCATCAATTACGAAGAAGAGTAGACCCAGCCCTTTTGAAGACAATGGATGCACCGCGGTTAAGGTCTTTATTGGAGAAAGCAGCCCAAAGGTCATCTCTCCAAGCGATATCGTGGCCCCCTATAACATTGTCGGAGGAAGAGAGTGTAGCTGGAATCAGAAGGCAACCAAAACCAAGTCATAGGCCCTTACGAGCTATTCCTACCCCTATAACACCTTGTCCTGCTACACTTCGATTGGAAGGAGCAGATCCGGATATGGAGGAGGCCATGTATTGTGTGGCGGGGGGTCGTCTGGTCAACCAAATGTTTGAGGTGATCTGTGATCGTTACCACAATACTAATCAACTAGTACACAACCATCTATTGTCGCTTATGAACATTCCAACCATAAAGAGATCTCCATCAGCGTTAAGAACAATCATTGATCATATTTCGAAGCACCTTCGGGCATTGACCAGTTTGAATGAAAAAACCGAGAATTGGGATACATTAATAATCTTTCTATTCAGTCAAAAATTAGATTTAGTCACCTCCACTAAATGGGAGGAATATAAAAGTAGTTTACCAGACAAACCCAAATTAGATCAGTTTTACAGTTTTCTTAGAAACACTGCCGACATTTTAGAAATGGTAAATGACGCAAGCCACAGTAACAAACATCCTGCCAGCACTCATGAAAAGTTGAATGACAAAGCATCTCGTATAAAGCAGCCTCACAAGATGTTTGTTGCTACAGCTTGCAAAGA